TGTGTGGGAACGAGTACTAGTTTTGCTGTGATTCTGGATAAATTGTAACAACTTTAATTTATAAATTCTCCTTGCCGTAGAGGTGGAGTAAGAAAAATTTTAGTTTGGACTCTCCAATTGAATGATCCAACCAAGGCCCTTCGAAACTTAGGACCTGATTCATCAAAATTTTGCTATACAAATGAGTTAACCACATTACGTATTAGGCCATCAGATTGTTTAGGTTAGTCACAAATTTTAGATGCATTGTAAAATAAAATACAAAATTAAATATACATACATGTATGCATGCACGCATATATGTATGTAAAGATAGAGAGAGATGTGAATAGGATCTCTTGTTTATGAAGCTTCATTAGAGAGATCTCGTTAAACTTTTCAGGAAATTAAAGGCAATATATTTTGATACGTTGCCATTGTTATGAGAAATACTTTAAATCAAATCTTTTACAAAGTGTACTATTCACATATCCATGTGTGATTTAATAAAGTTTACTACGTCTACGCATTGAAACTTAATCCTAGAGAGAATTACAATGAAATCTTAAGGGAAGAAAAATTACAAACCAAATCTTAAAGATTATCATTCTCTACTCTAGAACTTGTCATTACAGATTACTCAGATTGTTATTGAGACTTTTTGTAATAATTTCTTTTCTTTAGAATTTGAATGTAATTCTCCCTAAATCCTAAACACTCCATAACTGCGAAGGCACGATGGAGAAAGGGTCTTCTAAAAATATATTATAATGAAATTAAAAAATTTAAGAGGCCTGGGAGCCCCTTCTCTTCTTCTGCATCTCTTTAACTTCATGTTTTTTAAGCACTTTAGAAGATTTATATCCTTAAAAGAGTTTATTTGGAATGGTTCATAGATAACTTTTCATCTATAATTTACAAAATACTTATGTGAGGAAAATTTTATTTCTACTTACCTAAAAGTATTTATAAGTAATTAAATTATAAATACAAGCAAGCCCAAAGTCAATGGTTTTTGTTGATCTGCTCCATATTATTAATTCAAATAAATTGATGCTGAAGTGCTGAAGCTGCTCGCATTCATCAATAATCACAGCAGTGCGAGTTCCATTACTTTACGTGCGGTGAAAAGGGATATTATTATCAACAACTTTTTTTTTTTTACCAGCATATTATCAACTTATTGAACTCACTAATATTCAAAACTTACATGGACACGATAGGCATATATATAAAACCTAATTATTTTATACACGATAGCACATCTATAAAAAAAAAACGTAAAATTTGCATAATTACCAATGGTGATTAAAACGATCGAATAGCAGAGTTGAATTCTTCTTACTTTAAGTTTTGGTCAAAAAATTCTTCTTAGTTTAAAATCCATCTTGTGAAAAAAAAAAAATTACATCAAGAAACTTCCTCTCTATTTTAAATCAGACAACACAATAAGAGTTGGTCAATTTGGTAAAAAGTCAACTCATAACCTATAAAATTGTGAATTCAAATGATCTGTAAGTATCTCTACAAACATTTTTTGAGTCTGAAAGAATGCACTGGTGAGCTCTTGAGATTCAACTCACTTAAATTTTTTTTGTATGAAAAAAAAAATCAGACAAGGCAAAATAGTCGATAGATCCAAATATTACCCCAAACAAAAGAGAAGAACGATGTTCCAATCTTTTCGCATTAGCCGTATGCCTGCATCTTCACCTCGCCTAAGTGTTTCGGGCTGAGGCCCATATGTTAGGTGGTAGAAAAAAAAAAAAAAAAAAAAAAAAAAAGACCAAGGATACTTTAGGACGATAATCCCATAACCAGCATAGCTTGTGTTTCTCGTAAACACAGACACTTCAAAAATAAGAGGTCCTAGTATAAATATCATCACGACTTTCTGTGAGGTGTATTTCTCTTTTCAATCACATGAATAAGCCATATCACCTCAATGAACCTCCCTGCGTATAGTTCGTGTCACGCCCACCACGCCCACAATTTATAAGTCTCTCCCATTTCGGGTCTTACCTCTTATACACCATATGTTCACAGATCTGGCGCAAGGTTAGAAAATCCCCATTACGATTGCTTCAAGCTCAAATCACACCAGATGAATTGATTAAGACACCAAACCTACTTCTTGAGGTATAACTATCCGTGATTTGCTCATGTGGGGTAGCAGAAAAAAGCAAGGCAGCTGCCAGCTGAATTAATGATGTTGATCCAGTCTTTCTTGTAAGAAGATAGAAGGCTACACTGCAAACTCCGGAATTGGATTTCAAAATCAGAGAAACCACTTGAGATTCTGATGATGTCTTAGATACATGACCTCAGAGTAGCATCAAGAAGCAGGATTGGCGTCTTAACCATCATCCAGAAGCATGCAGAAAGGATTAGTTCAATTGGCCGATAATTTATTGAACTAATCATAGAAAGGATTACTAACTTGTAAGATATCTGAAAATGTCACGAGGAAGACTTGAAATCGGCGAGACAAGAAAAACTCTGGAAGTCGAGGCATACGAGGCAGAAAGCTTTGAGGAGCTCTAGCTCTCATATGAATGAAGAAAAACAAATATATATCTGCAATTTGATACCTCAAAAAAATTTTAAGATCCTTTATTTGCATCTATGTGTATCATACAATTGTCTCTAAGATCAATTTTTTCGGGCATTGAAATAAATAATATATTATATACTAAATATATTTGGAGGAAGTTGAGTTTTCAAGTCATAATTACCAACTATGACTCAAATTTTTAAAATACTTTAATTACAAATTCGCTATGCATGAAAGAAAATGACCACTCTATCAAACTCTTACATGATGCAGTTTCATAGTAATTTCACTGTCAATATATCCCGCCACCATTTGCTTTCAAGCTACCAAGGTACTCTAACTCCATTAACATATTGAACATGAAAACAAATCGATGTTATATTGCTGGAGCAAATGGTTAAGACATATGTTCCATTTATAACAAGGCAAGAATCATCTATGTTATGATCTGTCTCCAGAGATCAAATAAGCCACAGCTGTCACACTAAAATCTTGTGATAAAGTCCTAAACAACCAATTCAGCCAATCAATAGCTAAAAGAATAAAGTTTACTCCTTATAATTTCAATGCTTCAAATCATACTTGCCCTGAATAAACTTCAATGGCTAATTTATCTGAGCCTTGGAGCAATTATGCTCACAAAACCTTTATCATTACTGGGCATACTTGGAGGTTGATATCAAACATGGGCTTTAAAATCTCAGACAGGAAATCAACAATCAAAACATAAACTGAGGCCAAGGCTATAATGACATCCTCAATCAAAACAAATGTATTGCCGAAGGTGAGGAGGGTAAATTTCAGTCAAGAAAAAATTTCGCCGATTGTCAGCATATCTCAACACACACACACATATATATGTATATAAAAAACCAGAAAAAGCAAGAATAAAGGGAAGTTAAATGCCCCACCAAGAAGATAAAAGAGACAACCAAACACAAAACAGGGAGAAAGAGTGTTCCCAAAAATTCTGCCGGTTGTCTGCATATCTCAACATGTATATATATCTAGAAAACCCAAAAAACATGAATAAGGGGGAGTCAAATGTCCCGCCAAGACGATAAAGAGACAACAAAAAACAAAATAAAGAGTTTTCCAAAAAAATCTCAATATCACTGACATTGATTATTGGCAGCTTACATTATACACAACCAAAACAAACAATTTTGAATGAATTCAAGCAAGATCAGATTTTACCTCCAAATGATAAGTGACCAACATATTGTTAAAGGATAAAAATGCAAACATACTTTGGCAGACAGATGGCATATCAAGGACCCATCCTATGACCACCTGCCACTTATACTACGGGGGAGTTTGGGAACCCCTTAGAAGCACTTCAAGAAAGTACTTTCAAGCAAGTCGCGCAAAAATTACTCTAGTATATTTATCTAGAGCATCGTAAAATCACTTCCACATAGCTAATCGAGGATGCCCAAAAAAAAAAAAATAGCATAAAAATTTTACATTAGGAACGTCTCAGTCATCCCTACAAGTCACCTAGAAATAATATACATTTCCAATAGCCAAGAGATTGCAAAAGTAGAAGAAAGGGGGAAACGGGGAAGAATTTTCAAGAAAGGACAATGAAAAAAGGCCTTAGATTAAACCTTCTAGCTTTCAGTATTCATCGCATATTTTGATTGAGTAAAAACACATTAGCGATTTAGAGAAGATAAAAGCATATTATATAGAAGATAATTTTAAACAGCGTTGTATATATTGTTCCAAGCAGATGTAATCTTTTTTTCTTTTTTGGTCTGTGTTCTGAGCACCTGTAATGTAAATACACATTATTTGCCGGCAAAACCATAGGAGAACAAACAAGATAAGAAAAAACATACAACCCTTGACGATCTGTACAGAGTGATATTTGAACTTGACATATAGGACACAGCTACACAGGCGGTATGTTAGAGAAAGAAAACCCTTTGTATCCCTTGTAGGCAAAATAAGCAATCCGCGTATAGTAGAATCCCGGAATGAACAAGATGGCTCCCAGTATTGCAAAGAAAAGCCCTGAATATAAACTCAACCGGTTAGAAAGCCCCTAGTAGTTAATAATACTGTAACGGATGCTGAACTAGATAATATCAGATAGGTCTTTCAAATTCCCTCAGTTGGACGATTAATTCCAAATATTCCACCCACCAAAGAAGGCAATAACCAATTATACAATCAAAAGGGGAGAAATTAAATCCAGAGAGAGTATTAATTCTCCATAACTTTCAAGAAAGATGGGAAAACATATGAAAGTTTATTAGAAATGTCAGCTCCTTTCATTAAAAAAGAAATTCAGCCTTTTCTTTTTTGAATCGGGAGAAGAATAATCAACATGGAAACTTAAAATTGATGAAAATCAAGAAAAGGGAAGGGTAAGGAAGCGCAATAAAGAATACCGTGAGCTGTGTCACCGCCGACACGATTGTAGGTCATAATTGAACCGATGATGATACCGAGGGTTCCGAAGAAGAGAAGAGCAACGGCGAGGGCGATCTCCTTGATGGGAGGTTTGTTGTTGACAACGTAAGATGGCTCCATCATGATATCCTCGTCGGAAATCGAGAAGGCGTGATCGACGTACGCCATTGTTGAATTAGTAAAACGAGATTCGCCCGACACAAGGTCACAGTGCTTTTTCTCTCTGGGCGTCTCAGTAAGTCGTAATCCTCAAAGATTGAGCTCTCAGGCTTTGGCAATGAATGAACAAAATTGAAATGAAATACAGAGAGAAGGCTTGAGAGGAAGGGTGTGGGGCTGGGATGAATGCAGCTTTCGCGGTTTGGACGAAAATTTGGTGAAGTTCGATAGATCGAAGACTTTGATTTGGACCATTAGGCATTACATTATTTATACAAGCCTTTTTCTCCCCCCGGGGGGGGGGGGGGGGTTTACGCCCCTCCCAGTTTTTTTCTTGTGCTCTTTTAATTTTTTTTACGAGGTTTTAATTTAGTTTTTTAATTTTAAAAAATATATATCTGATCTTTTAATCCTAAAATCATTAAGATTTGATAATGATTTTTTGTAACAATTATGAATGTTTTGAAAATTAAACTTAATATGTTAGTATTTGAAAATATCTTATCAACATTTAAGATTTTAATGTCATAATTTTTAAAAAAAAATTTGGGATTAAATGACTAAAAGTATACGTTTTAAAATTAAGAATAAAATTAAAAACTTGTACTTCTCTGGTTCTTAATATAAGACCCATTTAACTAATTTGATTAGATTAAGGAAGTTAAGTAAATTAGTTAATTATAAGAAATATGACACGTTTTTTTCTAAAATACCGTAATTATCTTTCTTAATAATACCCCATCTTCCTCTTCTACTTGATTATAGTTGATGAAGTATGCATGGGGGTAATTTAGAGAAAATTGATAAATATGAGAAATGGGTCCTATATTTAGAATTAAAACAAACTCAATAATTTGATCTTATATTAAGGACTGGAGGAGTACAAAGTTAAAAGACTAAAAATATACTTTAATTTTTTTTCCTTTGCATTTTTCACGAGAAAAATCATAAATAAAAAATTTTAAAAATGTAATATTCTAACTCAAACATTTAAGAATAAAAAAGACAGAAAAAAATAATATCTGATCTAATATTTTGTAAATATAATTAAATAACTAAAATATCATTACATCAAAAAGTTTGTTAATAAGTTCTGAACTAGTAATGACAAGTGCTAAATAGCAAATAATAAAAAAATATTGATAATGATAAGTAAAGGTGGGAACAAGCTGGGTCAGGTCTTACTTTTAATATGCTAGACTTGTTTTGTACTACCTCCGGTCCTAATTATAAGACCCAGTTGACTAATTTGAGGAGATTAAGGAAAGAAGTTAAGTTAGTTATTTGTAATAAATAGGTGTTGTCTTTCCTAAAATATCCTTACTAATCAACTATATTGGCTAAGACTATAATTATTAGAAGGACTATCTTGGAAAAAAATACATCAATATAAGAGAAAGTGGATTGAGGTCTTATATTTAGGACCAAAATAAAAGTCAAACAGGGTCTTATATTAAGGACCGGAGGTAGTAGCACATTAGCCTGAGCTTAGTCTGTGACCTGTTACAGGTTTATTTTTCAGCGTAAGCCTGGCTTGAAACATGTTAAAGAGTCTATATTTTTTAAAAAATTCAAATTACAGAGTGATATGTAAAAAAAAAGAAGCTAAAATTAAAAAAAATATACATAATAATTAATTTTTAAATATTGTCTTTTATTTAAATTTTAGTATCATAAGTACTAATTTTAGTTTTAATTATAATTTACAAGGATATTATTGAAAACTAGGTGTAATTGTTTATTAAAATTTAGAACAAGACTACATTTAAGTACAAAATGAAAATTAAAATCAAGACAAATAAATGGGAAAACAAATTATTAATTTTACAATGAATAATGAGGGTGTCATAATTTAATTACCATAATACATAAGTTAATTAATTTATCATTCTTGGAACAAAATTTTCTTTCCTATTTTATTTATTTTTTTAAAACTTAAAAATAACATTATTTATTGATTTTATTATTTTAAATTATTTTTTTATCTTCACTTGTCAATTAAACCTCAAAATCCAAGGAAGCATTAAGCCATTAACTATATATTAAAATTAAAAAATAAATTAAAGAAGCACATTAATAATAATACTACAAACTAATTTTTTCATATATTATAATTATAAATTTTGTAACAGGCCAAGCCGGCTTAACAAGCTTCTTAAAAAGCCTAAGCTTGACCTGTAAAGTTAAACACACTCGGGCTTGCTTCTCTTTGAAAACAAGTTAGGCTAAATGCAGGCCAAGTCATAAACTCCTGACAGGCTGTCTAACCTGTTTCCACTCCTAATAATAAGTTATTTATTAATAAGTTGTGAATCGATAATAACAAGTTTTAAACAGCCAATGCCAAAAAATATACTGACAATGACATGTTCGATTTTTTTTTTCCAAATATGATACAAGGACATTTTATTCACTTAATTATATTGCAAAATACAAAACAAGTATCACTCCGTCTTTTGTCATTTTCAACTCTTAGATGACTGAATTGAAAAATGATAATTTCAATTTTATTGTTCCAGAATTTTTCATTTTCACTGGAAAAAACAGACCAATGCATAATATATTGGGAAAATGACAGAAACATATTTGTTGAGTTTTAAAAAGACAAATAAGTCAAGCTGACTATTCTTGTAATTATTTTGACTACTTCTATAATTGTTTTGAGAAGTCAAAATCATCTATTTATCATTTGGAAATTCATGAGGTATTTCATTCTCTCCAATGTTTTTGTGTTAAAAGAACTATAGGATCATATTTACTATGAAGCATTAAAATTAATTAATATATTTTTATAAACCATTTTTTCCTTTTCATTTTTTTTTATTTTTCCCCACTCGCCACTATTTGGAAGTTGGGAGCTTCATGTCTGTCAAGGTTATGCATGGTGGTTAAAACCAAATTTTGATTTTAATTGAAAAAACCAAATTTTGCATAGGGAAAATGACACAAAAATGATATATGATTTTGGAAATGCCAAAATGGTCAATTGAATTTGTAAAATCCTAATTTAGTCACAAGTAACCAATTTGACCTTTATAAATTTACTGAAATAATCAGATGCCTTTTATTTTATTTATTGTTTTAAAAAAAACCAAAACCCCCACTGGCCGGCCGGCTGCCGGAGTTCTGGCGTCGGCGGAGCAGCCACCACCGGAGCTTCAACGATCAGCCAACAATTGGTCACCGAAACTCCAGCGGCCGAAAACAATTTTTTGAAAATTTTTACAATTTCAGTATAATGGTTAACAATTTTTATAATGCTATTAACAACTTCAGTATAGCAGTTAACAACAAATTTTTTGAGAAATTCAACAATTAGTCATCGAAGCTCCGGTGACCGAAAACAATATTTTTTAAAATTTTTATAACTTCAGTCTAACAGTTAATAATTTTTGTAACGTTATTAACAATTTCAATATAGTAGTTAACAACAGGTTTTCTGAAAATTCAACAATTGGTCACCGGAGCTCTAGTGGCTAGAAACAATTTTTTGAAAATTTTTACAACTTCAGTATAACAATTAACAACTTTTGTATCGCTATTAACAATTTTAGCATAGAGATTAACAACAGGTTTTCTGATAAATTCAAAAAAGTAGCATTTTTACAACTTCAGTAATGCTGTTAACAAGTTTCGTAACTTTATTAACAACCTCGGTATAATATTTAACAACAGGTTTTCTTAAAATTCAAAAAAGATGGCATTTTCCAACTTTAGCAACTAATTTTTTTAAAAAAATTTTACAACTTTAGTATAACAGTTAACAACTTTTATAACATTATTAATAACTTTAGTATAGTAGTTAATAATAGGTTTTCCGAGAAATTCAATAATTTGTCGCTAAAGCTCTGGCGACTGGAAACAATTTTTTAAAAAAATTTTACAATTTCAATATAACGGTTAACAACTTTTGTAATATTGTTAACAACTTTAGTATAACAGTTAATAATAGGTTTTCCAAGAAATTCAACAATTAATCGCCGGAGCTCTTGTCACTGGAAACAATTTTTTTGAAAATTTTTACAACTTAGTATAATGGTTAACAACTTTTGTAACACTATTAACAATTTCAGTATAATAGTCAACAATAGGTTTTTGAATTTTTTAATGACATTACCGAAGTTGTGAAAATGTTACTTTTTGAATTGTCTGAAAAACATGTTATTAATTGCTATACTGAAATTGTTAATAGCGTTACAAAAGTTATTAACCGTTATACTAAAGTTGTAAAAATTTTCAAAAAAAAATAGTTGTTAAAGTTGTAAAAATGCTATTTTTTTTTTATTTTTTAAGAAAACCTGTTGTTAAGTATCATACTAAAATTGTTAATAGAGTTACGGAACTTGTCACCGACATTGCTGAAGTCGTAAAAATGCTACTTTTTGAATTTATCGAAAAACTTGTTATTAACTATTATACTGAAGTTGTTAATAGCGTTCCAAAAGTTGTTAATCGTTATATTAAAGTTGTAAAAATTCTCAAAAAAATTGTTTCTGACTGTCAGAGCTCAGGCGACCAATTGTTGAATTTTTCAAAAAATTTGTTGTTAACTGCTATACTAAAATTTTTAATAACATTATAAAAGTTGTTAACCGTTATACTGAAGTTGTAAAAATTTTCAAAAAAAATTGTTTTCAACTGCTGGAGCTCTAGGCGACCAATTGTCAGTCGATTGCCGGAGCTTTGGTGATGGCCGCCACCACTGATGCTGGAGCTTCACTGACTAGTCAGCCAACGGGGCTTTGGTTTTTTGAAAAATAATAAATAAAATGAAGAGCAATATGATTATCAAAATTAGCCACTTGTGACTAAATTGGGATTTTGCAAATTCAAGTGACCATTTTGACATTTTCAAGTTCAAGTATCATTTTGTGTTTTTTTTTTTTTGAATAAGTTGTTTTTTTTTTTAAGGGGAGGAATCGGATAAGTTGCTCTCTTTTTGGAGGAGGGAAAGGAAATCAGTTGAATAAGATATTTAAGAAATTCATTTTAAGTTAAAAAATTGAGAAAGATAGTTTCTAAACTCCAAATTAATTTTCTGACAAAAAAAACCTCCAAATTAATTAAAAAATGTTGGCAAAGAAATTAGTTAAAAAAATTAAAGTTTCACCAACATTTGTCTTTGTGCCCAGGCGCCAACGTTTCAAAAGATACAATAAGCAATACTCACATTTCGAGCAAGATTTTTTACCCGAGAAAAATTACGGGCAATATATTGGCCTATATTAATTATTTATAAATTATAAAATTATTAAATTTTGTTCAATTCGCCAGTCATCTCAAATGGAATGAATTTTGGTACTAACGGATTGAACTGCGTTTAGATATAATTTGGATTGGATTAGATGGTCGAGATTCAATTTTATTTTTAATTTTATTCTTTTAAAAAATTATTTTAATGCATATATAATCTGAAAAATAATTTTTAACTTTCATTTGTTCAAAAAACTAATTTTTTTACTTAAAATTTTTAGTTGAAAATTTTTAAAAAAATGATAGAAAAATGATTGTTAAATTTCAAAATTTCTGAATATTCACTTGAATAAGTCAAATTCTTTTTGAATCACTTATGACCAAATAGCAATTTTTAAATTTACTAAAATGATCAAATTGCCATGAGTAGTACAGTTAACAAGTTCATTAATACTATCAATAAGTTTAGTATCATTATTAATAATAGGTTTTTTAGAAAATTAAAAAAAAAGTCACTTTTACAACTTCAATAATACTGTTAGCAAGTCTTACAATGATATTAACAACTTGTGTAATATCATTCATAATATGATATTAGAAACTTTTGACACTTTAAGAGATTAGTCATGAGATCATAAATGAAAAATTTTACAACTTTAGTAATACGGTTAACAAGTTCATTAATATTATTAATAAGTTTGGTATTGTTATTAACCACAGAATTTTCAGAAAATTAAAAACATGATAATATGATCATTTTAGTAAATTTTAAAATCCTTATTTAGTCATATGAGATTAAAAAGGAATTTTCATTATTCGGATAACTATTTTAAAATTTTTAAATTTAACTATCATTTTTTTGTCTTTCTTTTAAGATTTTATATTTAAACTATTAAAATTATATTTCATCGATACAAATTCCATCATAATATTATGATCTTTATTATTGTGATGGGTAATAAAATCAAGTCATAATCTTACAGCCCAATAATATGAGAGCCTCGGGCTGGGCGGGAAAAAAAGCCTCGGAAGGTTTTAGTATTTGTCCCTTTAGTTAAAAAGAAAAATCCATTTGGGTGACGCAAGTCTCATGCTATACAAATATGATAGCAAATAGAGCTAACAACAAGAGTTGAGTCTAACGTCTTTATTGTGGATTACCACTTTGTTGTGGTTCCAACTGCGGCGTTTGGGGAGGCATCCTAGTTCCTGAGTGCCTAGGTAAACGCCTGAAGATAATTGACGGCTCGCCCTACCTAATATTGGTATGACCTAGGAGGAAGGGAGATTTCGCCCTGCCCTTGGATCGTAGGTGAGCCCAACCTCTTTCCAAAAATTTCTTTACTGAAAAAAAAAAACAAGAGTTGAGTCTCACAGAAAGAGCTAGTATCTCATAATGTGACGAATCAAGGTTTGAATCCCTACTAGGAGAAGTGCCCACGTTTAGTGCCCAATAGTGTCTTGAATAAGATTGTCTTCAATAGGAGGATACATATGCTTTAGCAAAAAAAAAAAAAGAATCGAAAAAATGAGTTGAGCCTGTTAGCCCAGCCTGTTTAAACCCGTTTAAGTCGAGAGCCTGACTTGTATTTTGAAGTCTTAAAAAGGAAGTCGGGTTTAAAAGAGTTAACCCTGAAGGGTCGAAAAATAAACAGGTTGGCCTGTTTAAGCCTGCCAACATTTTTTAAAATTTCTATATTTTTTCTTAACTTATAAAAGAAAACTCTAACATTTTACACATAACACACTCTTAGTTTCACTCACTTCAGCAGCTTACATAGACAGCATTCACAAAAAAAAAAAAAAGAGTCACTATAGTTGTTGAAAAAAACAAAAAAAGATGACAATTACAAAATTTAAAACTAGGTATATTCACAAAAATGTATTATTATTTATAAGTCAAAATATTGTATGTGTAATTTTTACAGTTTTTATTTGTCATTCTCCTACATTTTTTATGCTTGAAATAGAATTAATTAAAGAATCTTTTGAATTAAAATAAAGATTTATACTATTTTTATAGTTAGAAACAAATTTAGAACTAGGAACGATGATCTCTTTTCTTTTTTGCCAGCAAAATGAATTATTATTCTTTATGTATACTATATTCGTTAGTTAAACATTTTTATTAATTATTTATAATTAAACCACATCATCCATATTGTAATTATTTACTAAACTAAGTAGTTATTTAGTTGTTTATGTCTGTCTTCTATTTAGTTTGTAGTGTGATAGATGTTTAGACATGATGATGTTTATGTTTGTGATTTAATTTTATTTATATTTATGCCTTTTATTAGTAATTTTATTGTTTTATTTTTATTATTTTGATAAAATATGTAACAAATAAAAAATTGTGTTTTAGTTAAACCGACCAAAAACCTGCAAGTTGGACTTAAGAAATTATTCATTTTTTGAATTTAGGTCTAGAGGGGCCGACGTGTTAAAGGCCTGAGCTCATGATAGCTAGCCTTGTAAGGTCGAACCGACCCGTTTTTCTAGTGCTAATAGCAAATGTGATTGTCAGGATAAACAAGTGTTAGTGACGGAGGAAAAACAAAAACCAAACAGAAAAAGAAAAGAAAGGCAGGAGTTTTGTTAACATGGCAATTAAATGGTGGGCCATCTCGAAACGCACGAGTTAATTAGTGGTCCCATCGTTCATGGGTTAATCAATAGGTGCCATCTAGATGGCCGACGACTTTTTTGTTGAAAAGAAGTGTCAGAGAAACAAAAAAGTGGAAAAGGCCAACGCATGCTTATAAGTACGGTGACCAGAAGTTTAAACTCATGTCCCCTTAACATATTAAAAATGATATGACCACTAAACCAAACAAATTATTTAATTTATATGATGCAAATAAAAATATATATAACAAAGCAAACATAAGTATCTAAGTATAAATAAATAAATGAAATTCGACAATTTACAAGTGAAATTCAGCAATTTACAACAAAAATTTGACAATTTACAAATAACATAATGGAATTTATAACCCCAAATGCAAGTATGAATGAACAAGTAAAATTTAGTTATTTACAACAACAATTAAAATATTTACAACCCAGATTCAATGATTCATAAGAAACATGACTACTTCTATTTGAAGTTGTGAATTCTCTTATTGGTTTTGTAATGTTTATGTTTCTTATGAATCATTGAATTTAGGTTATAAATAGCTAAATTTCACTTATTTATTTACACTCAAACACTTACATTTTGGGTTGTGAATTCTCTTATGTTTCTTGTGAATAGCCAAATTTAGGTGGTAAATTCATAAACTTTTGTTATAAATTGTCAAATATCACTTACTCATCTACAGTTAAACACTTGCATTTGAAATTGTGAATTCCATTATATTATTTGTAAATTGCCAAATTTTTACTGTAAATTGCTAAATTTCACTTGTAAATTATCGAATTTTACTTGTTTATTTACACTTGGACACTTGCGTTTATTTTGTTATATATATTTTTATTTGTATCACATGATTAAATGGTTTATTTGGTTTGGTGGTCATATTATTTTTGGTATGCCAAGAGGTCATGGGTTCAAACTTTCCTTTGGCCACCTTATTTTTAAAAAAAAACTTTAGGCCACTGGAGCTACAGTAGCAGCCACCGAAACTGCAACCTCTGACGGCGGCTACCTGAGCACCGGTGATCGAAACTCCGACGACTATTAATATTTATTTTTTTAAAAAAATAAAAATGAGGAGTATTATTGTAATCTTACTTTTAATTTTAATTTCAGTTTATTTTTTGGTTATGGAGTGACATTTCAGGATTTTTTAGGGCCTGTTGGAAATTAATTTCCATATGCGGTCCTTAATTGAAAGTTTTCCATTTTCTTGAGCTCCATACGACGTGGCAGTAGTGCACAAGCTGTACAAGGAACCTTGATGCATAAGATTTCCAAAGGGGGCCCTACAACCTGATTTCATTACATATTCGTGCCCAGTTCTGGGAAGCTTCCGTCCTCTACGCCACATTATTGCACACCATTCTTCTTATCACAATCAACCAATTTTGCTGAGCCATCTTCAATCTTTCAAAAAAAAAAAAAAAAAAAGCTAAATTTTTTTGTTGGCGATTTTTATTCAAGTCACAAGGCATTATCTCACCCATCTCTTGCATTCCTAAGCCTTTTCTCCCTGGAAAAACCAGCTAATTAAAGCGACCTTATGTATCCATTTGTTTCAGCAGAGAGGATCAGGAAGAGCAAGTAGAAAGATCAATATGGGAAACTGTCTGGCCCGTCAATCTGATTCTCCAAATTCTCATCGCAACTCCAACAATGGCTCCAACAACAATCATTTGGGTATGCCAAAAAACTAGTTTGTTTTCCTCTCCTGACGGCTCTTCATCCTTTGCTGCACAGTAGTTCTTCATTTTTCTTTCAATTTCTCAGTCAATAAGGCTTTGCCATAATTATTTACGGAACGAAATATATGAGATCAAGTTGCTGAAAGCAACTATAAATCAGTGAAAAGAAACGGAAAAAGCAGCAAAGCAGTTGCTGATTTGAATCCCAGTTTTTCAAATTCCGCAATTTCACAGTGTTCTGATAAAAACCCAGAGAGATCACTGTTAGCTCATATCTGTATTTCTCGTCAACTGAAGCTTCAAGCTACAAATGAACTGCAAAAGCTTGTTGCACAGTTATCCAAGCATCATTCCTTAATTAACTAACAAAGTATGACTATGGTAATGTCACAGGGAGCAGCCAATTGCCCATTAGACGCAGTACCTCGAGACTCTTGCAGAGTACAAGCAATTCCACCTTGCTAGGACGAAGCAGCACATCTGCCGGAAATAGCAGGCTATTTGGACCAAGTAGCAGTAAGACATACACAACCAGCAATACTAATACATCTCTTCTAGGCTCTGATATCAGCCAAGCCTTAGAATTAAGAGGTCAACAGGAGTTTCCCAATGGGCAGATCTTGGATGTGGCAAACTTGATGGAATTTACTTTTGAGGAACTGAGGGAAGCAACTAAAAATTTCAGAGTTGACTTTGTAATAGGAGAGGGAGGCTTTGGCAGGGTGTACAAAGGTTTGTTTAAGGGGAGAGCACCATCAAGAGCAACAAGAGGTGGGCGATGGGTTGCCGCCATCAAGAGATTGAACCCTGATGGCTTCCAAGGATTTGCGGAATGGCAGGTGCTGACATTATTACTCCGGAAAAAACAATGTCACCTTCCATTCTACGTGACTAATATATGACGCTGATTTTGTGCAGTCCGAGGTGAATTTCTTAGGAAGGCTTTCTCATCCTAACCTTGTCAAGTTGTTGGGATTTGGAAGGGAAAATGGAGAGCTATTTCTGGTGTATGAATTCATGCACAAAGGCACCTTGGCTAACCACCTTTTCGGAAGTAAGAACTCATCATATTGCTGACTGGACATTTTTTAAGGAAAATTCCCCAGAATTTCTCATATCCTTTTCTCGGTTATGTTTGTGCAGGGGGTTCAAATGTACGGCCACTTCCATGGGACACAAGGTTAAAGATTATAATTGGAGCAGCAAGGGGCCTAGATTTCTTACACTCATTAGAGAATAGAATCATATACAGAGATTTCAAGCCATCCAATATCTTACTTGACGAGGTAATTAGGCACCTCAATGTTTTTTCTCTGCCTGAGCGTTCTGGAATCATTTTTATTTTGCTTGACTGGAACGAAACTATACATATAACGAGAAAATACAAGACAGCGGAAAAAAAGGTCAAATTCCGGAATCATACTTGCTTATCATGCCACAGTGCAACAGAATAGTCTTAGAGGAGAAACAGAAAAACCATATGTGCATTTAGTTATGAAATGAGAGAATATTGAGTCGAGTCTAACCCATAGCTGTGTCACAGAACTACATTGCCAAGTTATCAGACTTCGGTTTGGCCAAAGAGTTTCCTTCTGGTGATAGAACTCATGTGACAACAAGGATTATTGGAACTCAAGGTTATGCTGCGCCTGAGTACGTCGCCACAGGTAAGATAATCAATTGATCATTTAGCAAAAAGACTGTTGTGAAATAGTTCTATTATTGATGAAACTGCTAATTCACTCTTGGAACTGTACCAGGTCACCTGTCTATGAAAAGTGATGTGTATGGATTTGGAATTGTTTTGGTGGAGATACTGACAGGCAAATCAATAAATGATTTACGGAAGCATGGTCCATCATTGATCGATTGGCTCAAATCTAATTTGTTGAGTAGAGGGAAGATGATAAACGCAATGGACAGTAGGTTGGAGGGGAGATATCCACCCAGGTTAGCGTTACAAGTAGCTCAGCTTGCTCTTAAATGTGTCCAAACGGAGCATAAAGTAAGGCCATCAATGATGGAAGTCGTCGAGACATTGAAAAAAGTAGAGGCAGCTCAACTCCATGGTCGCCCAGATGGAGGTTGAATTGGCGATTTGATCTTGACACAAAACAAGCCCAGGTGTTAGACTACCCGAGGTATTCTCTTATTGGATACAATCCTATTCGAAATACTCTCGGTACTAAATGTGAGCATATATCCCATTCAGGTTTTGAATCTCTTGTTGGTGACTCACATCTGATACACATAGACATTTATATGTTTGTTTCTGATTGATTTGATTTATATTTTTGTAAACTCAAGGAAGAGTCTTTCCCGAGAGGTCTCTGCTCTGCTGAAATATGACTGAGCCTTGAAGTGGGCATAGATAAGAACCTGATGATGAGATCAGTCAAAGGACATGTTTGGAAAGGCCATGATTTCTGGGAGCGAGAAGACGACAGATGGTGTGTACGCACTCCCTCAAGATCACAGAGACTTGGCTCGAATGCTGACACAAAAGCAAGTGCAGGTTCTTGGGTTATAGATTTCCTTGAAATTCTCAAGCCTCTCTGGACCTCCATTATGATACAATTGTGAAGTCGTGCGGGGAAAAGGGCTTAATTTTTTTTAAAAGTATCCTGTGCATTTGTAAGCTATTTTAATTAAATTTTAGTAGCTTGTGTTTTATTATTCATTTATTTGCTTTTGTAATCTACTTTAATTATAATTTTAAAAAGATTAAAATCTAACCGTTTGAGATATTCATCTAAAGGTTAGAATAAGAAGAGGAGAAAAGAGTATAAGAAGGAAAGAGAAGTCTCAGCTCTGAAGAGAGACTTTTCCCCAGTCGGTCAGCAGAGGCAGTCCATTGACTTTGGCATCAGCAACCTACATATTCTTTGACCTGTAGTAGTAAAAAACTAAAAATTACTCCCACCGCCACTTTTTATGAGAAACATTTTATCAAATCACGAAGACAAAAAATAAGTTAAAATTAATTAAAAAGTTAATTAAAATTAGTTAAAGATAATAAACATATAAAAATTATGAATTTTTTTCAAAAATACTCTTATTTATGAGGAAGACTAGGAGAGAATATAAGAAAAAAAAAAGTAAGAAAATTATTAAAATAAAAAGAATTATGAAAGAAAGATAATATGTGATAGAAAGAGATGATGGTTTGAAAAAAATAAAATAAAAATATATTATGTATTAAAATAAGTAATTAATGTGAGTAAAATTAAAAATCAGTCAAGAAAATTGAAAACATCTTTTAAATGTTTTTTATAAATAAGATTAAAGTAAAAGTTGCAGTTATTTCTTATAAAAAAGTAACAAATGGAGTGCTTATTAGAAGTCAGGATGCTGCTGTAACTAGAGGTGTTTAAAGCCAGCCCGTCCCGGTTGGCCTGTTCCGGTTTCGGCCTTATTGGGACGGGATGGACCCATCTCGAAATTTTTCAAGACAGGACAAAAAAAGGACCGGGACGGGACACAGGACGAGGTCATCTTGTCCCGGTCCCATCCCGGTTTCTTTTTTTTTTTAAAATTTTTTATCCTATTTATATAATATCATTTTTTTAATATTTTTTTTAAGATTTGAGACTATTGTATGAAACTATAGATATATTTATTTAGAGTTTTTATATTTGTTGATGATTTGAGATTATTGATGACTAGAATTTTTGGCAAGTTTTTATTGTATTAAAAGCTTTTGTTTAGAGTTTTTAATGACTATTATATGTAATATTTTGGGCTTTTGTTTAAAAGTGCCCAAACAAATAAAAAAGAAAATAAAAAGATGTTTTTATAAGGTCTAAGCTCAAAAAACTATAATTAAAAAAAACAGATTTTATTAAAAAAATAAAAAAAAATCAAGACGTCCTGATCCCGTCCCGACCGGGACCGGAACAACATCGGGACGGACCGGGACACGAGACAAATTTTCTGTCCCTTGTTACTATTCATCAGGACGGAACTGGGACGAGTCTGTCCCGATCCGTCCCATGAACAGTCTAGCCGTAACCCAACCAATAACAAATGGTGAGGTCATTGATTCGAACCCTCAATTTGGTTTTCCAGGATGAAATTTATCATGTCAACTCACAGCTTTTACTACATCCGGTTCTAATTATAGGAACTAATTGACTAATTTGAGAAGATTAAAAAAATAAGTTTAGTTATTTGAAATAAATAGGTGTTATTTTTCCTAAAATATCCTTACTAATTAAGTTTATTGTCTAGAACTATCATTATTAGAGGGACTATCTTGAGAAAGAATGCATAAATATGAAAGACAAAGTGAATTGGGATCTTATAATTAAAATTAAAATAAAGTCAAATGAGATTTTATATTAAAAATCGGAGGTAGTATCATTTTTCTAAAGTGATTTTATCTGCAATCAACCTTCTAAGATTTTCAAGTGAACTTCTAGAATTTATAAAATTTTCAAAATTTATATTTGCACTTAATATTTCAATATTTATAACTAAGTTGTTAGGATTTACAATTGAGACTACCCGAAGACATTTTCGACTTTTCATCCGTTCAGCCTAAAGCTATTGGCTTACAAAATTTGTGATCCTCTGGGGCCGTTTGGTTCAAGGAAAATGCGGGCCTAGAAATGAAAATTTTAATTTTTCTTCTCTGGCAGCGGGAGTTTGCTTCACAGAAGAGGCTGGAATGGAATGAAAATCGGGCATTCATTTTCATTTAAATAGATGAAAATCTAATCCCACCAAAAGGGTGGGAACAAATTTTCAGTCGCCCGTGCGACTGAGCATTTGACCCATTTGTCCCTCAGATCGTCTATAAAAAGCCGAGAGCGTAGCTGGACTAAAGAGATAATTCCATGCATGGAGAAGATAAGTTGGATTTTCCTCATCAAGTATGTGTTAGAATTTATGTTTTGATGATGACAAATGTAATTTCTAAATTTATGATTCCTAACAAAGCCAAAACTATGGAGCGAGAACCTCTTTTAATCAATTTTTTCTATTACGTATTCGAAAATTAGTCTTCTCAAATAAATATTTGAGAAGCTTCCTATATTTTGTAAAATTATTTTTCTTTAAATAGCTTTCTCTAATATATAACGGAGAATTGGACTTTTCAAATATGTGTTCAGAAAACTTGTTTTGTTTTTTTTACTAAGTATTACCTTATCAAAAGCACTCACAAATTTTTGAAAAGTTTTTTCTAATACATATTAGAGAATTAGCCTTCTTGAATATATATTTGAGAATTGGTTTTATTTAAGAATTGGTCTTCTCTGATACAAATATGAGAATTAGACTTCTTAAATATATATTCAAAAAATCTTTTCCATCAACCAAAGATTCCTTACCAAAACATCAATATAATGTGTTTACAAGGACTTTACCAAAATTATGTTAAGAAATTTTAAATTTAAAAATTTGGGGATAACAATATTGAAAAGAACTTTCTCAATATCATATTGGAGAAACTAACCTAGAAATAAAATGCCAACTGTATATGCATAGTTAGAAAATTTAGTTAACAATTTTATAATGTTAATGCAACAAATTTCATTATAACATAAGTTCATCAAACTTTATTCTCCCAAAATAAATTACAAAGTCACTTCACCATTCTAATACATTAACCAATATTCTCCTTCTTCTACATAAAGTTCACACATTTTATAGCACAAAATAGAGCCATCACTCCATGACAATCTCTCTTTTGTCAGGCAATGTATTAATCTTTCTCAATGCTTGTTTCTGAACCTGGCAACCACTCTGTTCACCTGTAAATCAATAAATTACCAAATTATTATTTAATCATGCCACAATATGCACAGAAATTGTGTCTGCTCAAATAAAACCATTACTTGAACATATGCATCCCACACATCTTCATCACTGATGACACAGTGGGTGGTGCGATTCCATGTAAATCCATTTTGAGGACGTCCATAGAGCATATCAGCCATAACAGACTAGTCTCTAGTTAAGCTCCTTATGCGAGGGAGTATGTCAATACTTACCTTTGGACATCGACACGGTAATGACTCCGTTAGCTGCCTCCAAATCCCCACCGCTACTATCTCCTCCCTCACACAATTTGTGCCTATTTTGCTCTTCTTCTTGCCGCACAAACAGGAAACATTGGTCGGAGCTGGGTCTGCTTTTCTGAATTCACATAATATTATTAAATTATGTCATTAAGGACAATATGGTCATTTTGTTTATTTTCCCACCTCCTTTCATCTAACCAAACATAAATTTTTCATTCAAATAATTTTTAATTTTAGTGAAAACCAAACACTCATTTGGTCGGTATTCATTTCCATTCCAATAAATTCTTTGGACCAAACGGCCGTTAATGTCATTTTCATATTATAGTCATCCTTATCTGTCATCCTCCCTGAACATTTATAGTGTGAATTGCGTCAAATCACTCACCATTCTTTTGAACCGCCTATAGTGTCATCAAACTAAATAATACAAAACGAAACAAAAAAAAAAGAAGTAATCTGTATTATAACTCAAATTATAGGACTTTTTATCTTTTAATTTAGGAAGAAAGAATTATATAGTAAAGGTAATCTTTCAATTTTCATAAGATGTATTTCATAAAAGTTATAATATTGTCTCGATCTTGTATTTTATACCTTTCAAAATTAAAAAAAATGCTGTCAGGAAAAAATATTGAAAACATAAAACCTTTATAGAAGACAGACTATTTAAACTTACCCCTAGACACCATCATTCAGATTGTGTTCTCTATGTTGCTCACCTCAAATATATTTTGCAGATTTTATTCTTCGAAGAACTTAATCCCCAAATGGCTTTGGTTAATATCAAAAAACAGTAGTTAAACTAAAAATAATAAGTTATTGAGAGAAAAAAATTTAAGCGAAACATAAAATGATTTTAATTAAGTTAAATATGACTTAGCTAAGATTCTCTCAACGATATTTCATATTTAACTTAACCGATTTTTTTTAAAAAATTAAATAAACGACAGAGAAGTGCCGCGATTAAATTTACTTCTTGGTTGGTCTTCACAAGTGGCTTCCTAGAAGTGGAGGAAAAAAATATTAATCCTAACTGCCATTAGATTAGTCCAGAACATGTGCTTTTCCCCACATTGACTTATCGCTTCTGTTTCACATTAAAAACTTTCAACCCTTTGTACCTTAATTAACGGTCTTTTGCACAAAGTCGGTGCTAAACTAAATTAATCATCTATAAACAAATTGGCTTACTACAAATTTGATATTACATATAGATATACGGATATTTTAAACAAAACAAAAAATGAAAGTGGTTGGAAATTGATAACTTCTAATTTATAAACGAGTGTCATTTGTAGAGGGAACGTTTTAAATTCCTTTGACCCTTGAAGGCCCTCGTAGGTGATTATGTGCTGTTTGGATCAGCGGTCATAAGTATTCATAAGCATGTTTGATATAAGTTAAGATAAAATTTCTCTCATATACTTATTTTATATTATGCAAATCATGATTAAAAAACTACTTATAAATTATTCTAAATGAGTCCTGTACATGTATAATCGAACTTCAAGAATCATCAACGCAAATTCTTAAAAAATCTTTTGAAACTTATTGTATACTACCTCTATTCCTTAATATAAAAATTAGGTTGACTTTCAATTTGATCCTAAATAAAAGACTCCAATATATTTTG